ATGTACAGTATGAGTGAATGGGGTGCATGTGCCCTGGGATTGGTTGACGCCCCATCTTGGGTGGTTCCCTGCGTTGCGCCCAAAGCCTCCTGGATTGGCTCTGTATCCCATGTGACCCTGAAAAGAGCAAGCGGTTTCAGAAAATGGATGGATGGATGGATGGATGGATGGGCAGGCTACACAATGGATGGAAAAACACGTGATTAGGAATCAGGTGCGACATAAGAGAGTATCAAGTCTCAATTGGTACTGTCACTTCAGGGTGGAGTGGTGATCATATTTGAACACCTGACATGCATTAAAACTAATTCATAGCATTTACAATATAACAATTAGGCATGATTTCTAATTTTATGTAGGCCTAATTTTATTAGGCAACAACACTGTTTGGCAAAATAAGCTGACATGTAAAAGGAAAAAAGCAAAAAGAATGGAATAAATGTGTAACGAAATATTTAAACCAACAATAATACATATAATTCAATATGCAAACCATTTATTGTCATGTACACAATGAAATGGACCTACTTGTTTTGCGTCAGTAAGCATACAAGCATATACTTCATCATCGCCTTCATGTGGTCTGTCCCTGTGGCAATCATTGGTCCGTCATTATATTTAATATATTTTCCGCAAGGGTCCGTTAATCATTCATTTTGATGAATGGATCCGTCCCGTCAGTTATCCAAACGGAGAGCGGTGATGTCACCAGGGTCACCGTGCAGCACGAGGCTCATTGGGAATCTCGGGAGACGCTCTCCGCATTAATTTCTAATTGTGCATGCCGATGGGGGCTGAGACATCTGTGCTACATCCCATTTAATTGCAGGAATAATCCTGTTTTGCCCACGGGCACCGTTCACGCGATATAGAAAAGCTTTTGGAAACAAAAAAAAAAAAAAAAAGATTTACTTGGTTCTGTTAGTCTTTTACTGCTGAACTGGCATCAGCGAACAGCGTTAAGCTCCCCTTGATCTTCATAGTCTCTTCATAGTCCAGTGTGTGGCCCTGTCTTGTGCCCTGTGGTCTCATCAGAATATTATCCACCCCTCAGCCCTGTATTGAGTAAGCGGTTGTGGAAGATGCATTGTGCTTTGTAGTTTTTTTTTGTGTCTGTACTGGCTGCCATTTATAGTGTGTTTATTTTTTTTAACCTATATATTTTTTGGAACGCGTATGATTTAATGCTAAGTCGATACTCATTATGAACTGCAGGGTACATTAAGTATGCGGCTCTGCGGTCCTGTCGTGTGCTGATTTATTTATTTTTTTCCCCAGTTTGCCAGCAGCAGGTTTGAAAGCCTTCAGAGCTCTCAAGATGTTCCTGAAAGTGACAGGAAGCGCATAACGGTGTCGGAGATCCTCTTCGCCTTGCTTTGTCGCTCTCTGGGCACAACCTTCTGAGTAACGTAGAGTGTGGTACTTTCATCCATCTGTCTTTCCATCTTTTCAATTGCTTCTCCAATGCCAGGTGTAAGTGGGTGCAGATATTGGTAGAGGTGCGTGTCAGTCTTTAGCCGTCCTATACCAGGATGTCTTGATTCTTAATCACAGCTTATACCTACATTTAAGCAAGCAGGTCCACTCTTTTCTGCTTTCAGTGATGTTAGTCTGCCCGTGGGGGGGGGGGCAGCTAGGTGACCTTGGCCCCCCCGAGATTTTTTTTCTCCCTACTTGGGAGTTTTTGGTTCCTCTCCTCCATTGTCTTCTGGCTTTATTTAATTTCTTTCCTTCCTTCTTTCCCGTTCTGTATTACACTCTCTAATGATGTTTAATGTATCATAACACATCCATGTAAAGCGCTTTGGGACGACTCTGTTGTGAAAGGCGCTATATAAAAATAAATTGAATTGAATCGAATTGAAATTTAATTCTTTGAATTCTGCCCCCTGCTGTTTGTGATTGCATATCCTTCCTGTGTCATTTGAGCTTCCCCTGGATTTCCTGTTATCTCTCGCAGTCCAAGGACATGCAGTTACGCTAATGGATGTTCCTTAAATGGTCCATAAGGTGTGTGTTCATATTTCTGTCCTGTGATGGACAAGCATCTCGTCTGTGTTCCTTCAGTACGTTCCTTCAAAATGTGTATGGATCACATTTTTTTTTCTGTTTGATTTCTAGTTCAGCTTGTAATTTAATTAGAATTGAGTGACCTTAATTCAATGAATTGCATTTGTGTAAAGCCAAACACAATTAACGCTGGCTGTTTTTATTATTTTTTTATTAATGTTTCAATTCTACTGTGCCCTTGAGTAAGCCAAACCCTAATAGCAATCAAGTTCGGTGCTAATTTAGTGTTTGTATATTTCACAAATCGCCAAATAAAAGGGCCACTTACAGCGCATCTGCAATGTTTTATTTACTATATTTTTAACTGATGAAAAACATTATATAAAAACGTAGCTCAGAAAGTACATTCAGAAAGTTCTAGTCTGGCTATGTGCTGTGAATCTGAGATGTATAATGACAAAAGAGCCCACCATTATTTGTCTTTTCCAGTCACTATATAAAAGATAAAAGCAGCTATTCACCAACAAGCCGTGCTCTTCAAAAATATCGATAAACCCAAACTTAACGACCAAGCTTATCAAATTTTCGTAGCTGCGGTAATGTCTCTGAAAGTCTTTGTAATCAATATTAACAGCCCTTTGAAATCAGGTTAATTGAGTCTTGATTGTTTCTGTGACACATGAAACTTCAAACTGCCCAATATTCTCTGGATTTTGTGCTGCCTTATAATGGCAAGCGTTTTTTTCGAAATACCCATCATAAACACAGAAACGTTGTCCTTTGTATCGGCAACCGATTGTTGACACGGATTTCGGGCAGAAATCGTCAACCCATCGCATTGATTCAATACATCATTACTTTCTGAGGGCGTCCTTATTGAGTGCCGGTAATCATTAGGCCTGCAGCTCGCATTATATTTACGGTTATGAGGACAGTGGTTTGTGTGCGACTTCTATCAAACAAATTTTTGGGTTGAAGCTGACGGTCGTAAACAATAATTTACTCTCTCCTCACGAGGAACAGCTTGGAATTTAGACATAGGAGGTTCTCTCTCAGAACTAACTCAAACTTCTAAGTGACATCCCATATTTTTCGGTATCTCTCCTTCGTTCGCTGACCCCGTTACACATCCAAACCAGTCTGCTGGTCACATCATGTTCTCTCTTTCCTCGTTGCTCTCTACCCTTGCCAGGTTCCGTCGCTTCCGACAGAAGCGAAAGCGGTTTGTGTTTGGGTTGCCGCATGAGGGCCACGTTCCAGTTTACACAGCTGGGTGCTCTGCGCTCGATGAGGTTCGGTTCCTATTTAAATTTCTGGGCCGGGGCTGCTGTTATCCGTGGGAGATGTCAGGGCTGCCAGTGTAGAGCCCTGCGGGCGAGTTTACCAGAGGCTGCTTCCTGCTGCTCTGGCGCTGAAGTGGAGGAGACCTCATCAGGCTTCGCATCGTCTTTGTTGCAGATCAGCTGGGCAGCACCGAGCTGTGCAGTGCAGTCGCAGTACCCATGCATTATTTATCGAGCATTAATAAATCTGCGCCTCCCATCTTTTGCTCCTTTTTGTTCATCTGTTTATCCTTGTATTCAGTTGTACCCCTATTCCCACGGAGGTGGTTCTTTCCGATTTTGTGTTCTCAGACCGACATGAAGCGCTCGTTTAAGCCGTGCCATCAACCCCTCCTGTTCGCTGCGAGAAACGCATTTATAGGTTCCATCGTGTTCCGTTCGGTCAGTGTTTAGGGGGCGTTTGCCGGCCCGGCGTATGTGCTGTCGGATCTTGCAATCTGTCTCCCAAAGTTCATTGCTGTGGTCATGCGGGCGTGTTTAATTTCATGTGTGTAAATAGTGTAGAGTTAGGAAGGTGGTAACTCTGCTTGACTGGACTCGATTAGTTTTCATTTCATATTTTTCTACCACATGGCCAAAGGATGGAGCACGGTGGCGCGGTGGTTGGCATCATCACCTCACACCTCTGGAGACCAGGGTTTGAGTGTCCACCTTGGTTCGTTGTGTGTGTGTGTGTGAAGTTTGCATGTTCTCCCCGTTCTCTGGTTTCTCCCTGCTAACTAACAAAACCACACTAAGGTGAACTGGAGTTACCATATTGTCCATATGTGTGAGTCTGGCCTGTCATGGGTTGGAGCCCCTGCTGATTCCAGGATAGACTCCAGACCCCTGTGACCCTGTATAGGACAAGCAGGTACAGAAAATGGATGGATGGATTTTCAAAGGTTTGACCGGAATGTGGCTGCTGCAGCATTTGGAAGCTCCCCCAAGGCGTCCACCAGTTTACCTCATATTATACTCTCCTTCGTGTGCTTTTTTTTTTAGTTGACTTCTCCTCCTGCGGCTTCTGCTCTGTCTCCTTGAGGTGTCCTTCAATATCTGTCTCAGATATTGTTCCGGACCGCTTGGCTGTGTGGGTGGTGCGGGTGAGACTCTGTAACGATTAGTATCATCAGAAGATTTGCCTACGAGTCCAATTATATCGTAATTAGGGAGGATGATAATAGCTAATATGACACAGGGTTAGGAGCTCGACGCTTCAGAATCGACTCCCGTCGTCCGGAATCCTCTCCTGGCCTTTCCATCACTCGGTAGATTTGTTCTCCTTTGCTTTCTTGTTCCTATTGTGCTACCTGGACACCTGAGTGGCTCCGCGTGGAACAAATGCGAAGCAGTCAGCTGGAAATCTGGGTCCCCTTGTGAACAAGCTTATTTGTGAGGGACATGCTGTGTTTCCTAGCCTGCCTGCCTCAACGCTTGTGGTGGGTCATCCCCCCCCCCGCCCCCCCCCTGTTCTCCTTGCTTATGCGTCGCTTCAATGAGTGTGAAGACCTTGCCCCCGGACTCCCCCCCCCCCGATTACCATAATAGCTTGCAGCGTATGAGATAATCCCTAACCCTTGAGCAGCATGGAGGTTCACTGTACCTTTAAAAGAGAGAGATGGTATGTGTGACAGAGAGAGAGAGAGAGAACGAGAGGGAGAAAGAGATTGAGAGCGAGAGGGTAAGGGAGTAAGAGGAGAATGAGAGAGAGCACCTTAATCTATCATGAGCTAATATTTTTTGTCGTTTGTTCTTGGCTGTGCTGAGCATCTCTCCCACGTCAGATACTCTCACCCGGGGAAAGGTCTTAAATGCCCGCCGATACGACCGCGCACACGCGCTTGCACAAAAAAAAAACGCACGCACACGCACGCCGGGCGATCGGAGCACGGCTGGAGCCGGGCCATCTTGCAAAAGAAGATCCCAGCCCGGCCCAGGGAGGTGAGAGGAGGAAGAAAAGAGAAGGAAGGCTGAAGGGGCGGAAGAGCGAATAGGAAGCGAGGGAAGGAGTGAAAGAGACTAACGCCGCGTGAAGAGGAGAGGAAGAGCAAGGCGGAGGGGAATAAAAAGAGTGGGGAAGAGTGTCGCTCACACCACCAGCGGTCCGTGTGGCAGGATGGGAAATGCACCCTCCCAAGGCATGTCAGCTCTCTCTTCATGCATTCTTATGTAGAAGGTATTTTTTCTGATCTTGCATGTCTCCTGACTGCTGGTTGCTGGTTCGCTGGTATTGCTTCGAGGTGGATGATGCTCTCGTTTGCGCTCGGGGGCCGAGATGGGTGGGGGGGGGAGAG